GTTATCTAAATTATAGATATAAAGTTTACAAAAGTGAATCTTGATTTAAAAACTATCTGATAGAATTTATTAGTTTTCGATGCTAAGTATTGTACAAATATGAGAAGATAATGATCAACGTGAGAATATTTATACACATGAAAGATTGAATTAGGAATTTGAACTGAAACTTTTATTTCTATTCTATAGAAATTTTCAATTGTAGAATTCTTCATTTATTATTGGTGAGTTGTTTTTTGAATATAGAACTAATTGAAATAAGTAGTTATGCTGGTAACAATTCATTCGAATACCAGCTAACTATAAAATAAGGTGATATCAAATAAGTTTTCCTTCAATTGGTAAATATATCGAAAACTCTGTATTATTTTACGTAAAAAATATGTCGCTTTAATAGAGACTGATGTCAACACTTCTTATAACACATTAAAGCCAAAACCATTGAAGATTCACTTTCCAACGGATATTATCTATATGAAGAATCGATATCATATAAACCTCATGACATATATTTGTTCCTTTTTTCATGATCTAATCAATAAAAGATTGAACGATAGAAGAAAAAAATAATCAAATTTTTGAAAATAGTAGAATAATGTACGTTCATTATATATTCTTCTAAACATACATATAATTCACCGAAAAACAATATGTTCCTTTACTCAACGCGTATTGCCTACATTCTGTTTTCTGTGCAATAGAGTATAGATAAAATATAGCAGATGTTCTGTACATTTGACTTATGCTTAATGCATCTACCATTGAAAGCACTAAATCTAGTCTATGTGTTCATGTCATATAACACAAAACATTAGGATAATTCCATTTTGCTTAAAATTATACACAAATTAGCAAGATTTAAGTGAATATTTGGGAGTGGCATAAGTTCTATTGGGGAATTTCTCATAACCCAACATGAATATATTGTCTTATATATTTGTCATGTAATGACATATTAACTCGCATGATTTGCCCTTTCAATATTTTAGTGTATGTTGAAATTTATCTGTCGTTGTATTTGTGCTCATCAACTAGGTATGTTCATTTCGTTCTATGCAATACTCGATTATGTCACTGCACGTACCAAGCTTTTTGATTAGGAGAAGGTTTCCTTCTTCATGATAACTTTGGACAGAAATGGGAACCATTTGCATTTGTCTTGTAGAAAGTGAAATACAAATAAATACGTATGCAATGTTATAGCGAAGTGAATAGAAATGGAGAGGTTTTTGATGAGAGATTGCCTGCTGATAAATCGTCTGCTGCGGGAGTAGCTTGGTTGTAGTAGGTTTCGTTGTTCTCCTTTCCCACTTCGGTTACTACTTCAAGCACTTCAAGAATGAAATCGCCTTCTGCAGAACCTTTAGCTCCTCTCGTCTCTCTGACAAATATTTACAAACGTGACATATACATATAAATCTGTGATCGTTCGTATTATCTCACCCTTCTCTCCTTTCAACTCACGGAGATACTCTATCTGTTATTTTCTTCATTTCTTGCCTATTGAATTACCAAGAGATTCATATTAACTTGCAACTTTTTATATTAATATCAATATGTGACAGTATTCAAATGGTTGAAACTAACCTTTTTTGCCGGTAACCATTGTCTAGCTGATCCTCTTTCATCAACATCAAATAATCCAAGGAAATCTAATTCATGTTTTAATAGAAGTAAACCGGCTATACTCGATTGTATTGTAAAATTTCTAAAAAGACAAAAAATATTTCTCAACATAATTCAAAATCAATATAAATCTGGTTTTTTTAAATACTCGTGATCATCAATTGAAAGTTCTTTTCTTATATAATTTAATTCTTCATTCTGATCAAATGAAAAAGCTCCTGCTAAATTTGTACCACTGATATCTAATGAAAGTAATTTTGGTAATGATCGTATTAATTTCGCTAATGTTATTGTCGGTCTCGAATAATTTTGTGATTCTTGTATACGACGATTAAATGATATATCAAGTAATACTAATGTTGATAAACAACATATTGAATCAATTGATGATTCAATAACTGTAGGTAAGATATCATAAAGTATTAATGAATGTATTTGTTTAAAACAATCAATATATGTTAAATTTTCAATAGCTGAATTTCTTGATAAATCAATATAACGTGTTTGTTCACTTGATTGTATTAATGAATGATAAAAAATTTCTTCAATTAAATCATTCGACATTGTATGATGTATACCTTCTAATGAAAGATATTTTAATTTTGGCTTGGTTAAAAAACATTTTGTATCAATATGATTTGTTGGAAAAAAATCAATTAAATTTATTTTTCCATCTATTTTATTTTCTGTTTGTCCAAGATATAATGTTGTTAAACGAGGAAAATATTTTGTTAATAATTGCAATATTTCATATGTTATATTACAATCACGTAAATCAATTGTTTCAATTAATTCATGTGATAATAAATATTTTGATATAGATTGATTTGTTATAAATGCACATGAACGAAAATAAAGTTCACTTAATTGAATAACTACTTCTGATCTAAGTAACAGAAAAAAAACCAAGTTTAAAATAAAATAGAAAATTTTTTCTATTGCTATTTACTTTATTCTCTTTTTTTGACCAATATTATTAAATAATGAAAGAAAATAATCAGTTGAGTTCGATGAATCTATTCGTTTGGTATTAACTATTGTTTTAAGTAATAAATTCCCTAAACGTGTTGATAAACATGATAATTCTGGTATATAAATATTTTGATTAGAAACTACAGGTAATAAATAATTAGATAAATAATGTATACCAATTTCAGTCAGATTTAATGGATCATGCATTATTTTTTTTTTATTTTTGGTTTTTTTAAATCTAAAAAGAAAGGCAAGGAAACACTACTTCACTTATTCAGACACAAACACCATTAGGTTCAATAATGCACGTTAATTAATCATAAAATGAGCAGCTTCAAAATTTCAAAATCAAAACAAAAAGAAACTATCACCAAAAAAACAAAATGGAATATTTGTTCGTTATTCAGACTAGGCTGCAATTGCATTCAATCAAGAATAGCTATCAATGATAGCTCAGTTCAGTATTGCCATCTTTTGTTGTCAATTTGACAACAGATCCATTCACTGGACGTGATGATGGATCAATAACCCATTTATAAAATAATCTAAAAACAGGAAACTATTTTATTTTCAAAATTCTAATTTTTATACATACTCAGCGATATATTCAAGTGGTGTCCATGTACTTGTATCTGCTTTCGGCATCCATTTACGATTCATTGGAGTATCTAATGTTATCCTAAATGATGAATAATTATTACCTCTGATATATTCCCAATAACATATTGCACAAGAGTAATCAAGTGTGACGTTAGTTTTTTTTGTCTTTATCTGTTTATCTCTTATTTACGTCTGACTCATCATCGAAAAAAAGAATGAAATAAACATACGGTGCAATCGTAAGAACTGATGAATTTTTTGGCATGCCACTATCCGATGCTGCCAAACTTTTGCCAATATGTATTGTAGCTGCTTTAGCTGCACCATAACCAATCATACCTAGTCGAGTAAAAATTTATTTAGAAAATCTTATATTTTCGTTTCTTATTTTTTAATAATCTAACCTGGTGTTGCATCAAGAGCAGCTGCAGCACCAGAAAGAGCTAATAAACCATTTTCTTTAAGGAATTTACTAGCTAATGATGCAGCAATCAATGTTGAATTAACACTTTGTTTAAAAACCAAATCAGAATTTTTAATAAAATCTTTGAATTAGAATAAATTATTTTCATTAAATTAAAACAAAAAAATTATTTTAGATTTACTTTTATCATGAGCATTTCCTCCAGCCCAACCACCAGCAACATTTAAAATAGCTTCAACTGGTTCACCATTTAATGATGATTGAATTTCTATATAAATCATCAAAAAGAAAAGATAATTAAACTTCTCTTTTTTTTTCGTTTATTTACGTTCGGTGATGAATTCAGCTTGTTTCTCAAGATTTTCAGCATCGCCAAGAGTAATACTGATGTCAGCCTGTTCACTTTTCTTTAAATCGATTGATGTTACTTTCTAACAAAATAAAAGAAAACATTTCAAGTAAATGAAATAAATTAAAAAATAATTGATTTTACAAAATCTTTGCTTTTAAAATAGCGAACTAAACAATCACCCAAAGCTCCACGTCCTATAATTAAGAAAACAGCATGATATTTTCAAATCGTAAATCAAATTTTATGAACTTATAAATTTCAAAAATCTTATAATGAATTCTACATGATTTCTCTTTTCCGAATGGTACCTTTTTGAATTAATTTTTCAGCCAGGTCCAGAAATACGAACTATTATTGATAATAAAGTTCGGGAGAGTAGTAGGAACTTGAAAGTAGGAATCTAACAGAGCTCGTTGCGTCCAAATTTGTTAGACGCAGACTCGGTTGATCAAATATTTTTCAGATCCTATCGAGCCATACGTTGATACTCTCAATGAAATTCTTTAATTGGAACTAGATAGTCGCCTCGCCAATACGAGATACTTGTGCTTGGTATTTTGTATTCAGTGACTGGTGCAACCTACACATCTCTCAGACTACTACAAGCCATTGGATCTAAAGTTTTTGCACCTGGACCTCGGACCAAACCGACGCACTCTAAAATCCGGTGGCTGGTTCGGCTCAGCTATGATCTGAACGAGACAAATCTAGCCATCGAATCTTGGTATCAGAATCATTGATCTCGGCTTCAAATATTTGATAATGTTGTTTTTCTTTACGTAATTTTTAACTACAAACCTCCATAAACAATAATTTGTTTTGACATTGTTCTACCTTATTGTTTATTTATCTGAAAAAGAAAACAGCTGAAAAGCAAACTATGAATGAATAAAGAACAGCATTCTTCTCCATTTTGAATTAATAGTTATATCACAGTTAATAAGAATATAATATGATATATAAATACAGAAAAATAGCTAAAAAAAGAAAAATATCTCGATTACAAAGCAAATCAGTGTAATTGTTTTATTGATAATTAACACTTGAATTTTCATAGAAGAAAAAAGCACCATCACGAAACAAACGTAATTGTCGCATACCATTTTCATCGAATTTTTGTGAAGATGGTCTTGCTTGACTTCGAACTCTATCTAGATCTTCAAAGAAATATTTATCTTGTTCAGCATCATCAATCCATCGATCAAAATCAGGTACACGATCGACAAGAGGTATATTCTTTTCATTATGAATTCGATCACTCATACTATCGAAAAACAGCCATTCATGTCGTTGACTTTGTTGTTTACATTTGACAAAAGCAACATAGTGACTTGTTTCAATACATAATACAGCAAAGAGATTAAGTTTATGTTTGTTCATGTCAATTTTTCTTGTAGTATGATTAACGATTTCGTGAGTTCGGTCTTTATGCAATTTAGTTAAACAAGCTCTACAATAACATAAAACCTTAGCATCGGTTGTTGATATGGTTAATGATGATGATTCTTTCGAATAGCATTCATCACATGAAAAAAAATCATGTGGCTGATCTTGACCATGATTTGTTTTTCCACATTTGACACAAACAAGTTGTACAATATCGTTGTCAAGAATAATTTGACGATCAGGTATAATATAACGATAAGAGCGTTTTGAAGGTGTATGACGTGGAGCAACCAAAATAAGAAAAGGTGGAATAGTTGCTAATTTAACTGGAATCTCAGAAAGTGAATTTCGAAATATACTAGCTATCTTTGTTGAAAGCAAATTTTGTGGATTAGCATCAAACATTTCCCCTATAATATTGTCGAAACTGTTACAAAAACCTGTTGGAGAAAGAAAAGAAAACTTACACATAATATTTGTTGTTACATTAGATGCATTTGGATTTGGTGATTGATCAGGTGGAATAGTTTTTAATGGTGCATAGTGAAAATGTTCTTCAAGTGCTCGTAAAAATTCACTTGGATCTTTTTCCTTTTCTTTAAATGATGGATCACCAGTTGCTTCACTTAATTGAGCTCGTAAATTATATAAAGCATCACCTATATATGAAACTGACTTTAAGAAAAGGCAGACATGTTAACCGAAACTTACGTTCAACGAAACCAATATTACTTCGAAGTACATGCACAATATTGTCTCTTAACAACTGTTGTAATTTTTCTATGGAATTTTTGTCAGTTTCCATATGTAGTAATGAATCAAATACATTACAATAAGCAAACATACAGAAAATAGTTGCATCCATATAGCATGAATTTGAATCGCCTTCAATGCCTTTATTTTCACCAAGTACTGGGCGATCAAGTGGAGGTAAATTATCGGTAATACTGACTAATTGTTCAATTTTTTTCCGACCTTGTAAACGTTCTTTTTCTAACTGTTGTTGTCCAAGCGCGTTATAGACAGAATTTACCGAAGCATAAAAGCCACGGTTTTTGTGTAGTTCAACATGTTTTTTACCACATTTCGGACATAAATCACTATAGCCTGTTATGAATCTTTCACATTCAAGTGCAAATAACTGATGTTCTCCACATGTAATATAACCTCTGATGACGTATGAGTCTTTGCCGAATTGGACAGTTTTGCCGATCATGTCATCAGTGTTGCTATTGATGCCAGTTGTTGGTTGATTACTGGAATTAACAGAAATACCTGTACAAAAACATCAGAATATTCAATGATAGAATCATAATAATATTTAAGAATTACCGCGATTGTAATTGGAACGGTCAGAACGAGTTTGATCATTCGATGCTATAGTTGAACTATTGCTACTAGGATTATCTGGTTTATAAAACGATGGCACGCCTATTTACAAAGAAAATCTAAGAATTTCGTGTTCGGAGTTTTTATGAAACTTGTTTTACCAGGATTTGGTGAAAGATTGTTTCCATTTGATGATGATCCTGTATTACGAGGTGATTTTTTAGCATCTCTATGTGCTTCCGAAGTGGCCATTGCAGAAAAAAAGATCTAAAAAGTGGCACCAGTTTTAATCAAAGTACTTATAAAATTTTTTTCAAAAAAAAATGTATAGATTTCTTCGGTTCGTAAAAATCTCAAAAAGACGACATAAATAAACTTGTTTATTTTTTAGTTCGTCATACATAGGTTCGTATAGATGTCATTAGATCTTTTGTTTTTTTATCGTTGTCAAATATTTTACATTGGCATAAAAAGTAGCTCCATCATCATAATCTGCAATTTTATTTTCATTGGAGATTCAAAGGATTCAATCATATTTTACAATTTTGTCTCCCAACGAAAAAAACTTCCTTTATTTTTTTTTGTAAATGATAACAATGAAAAATTCCAAAAACATGATTGCATAGCAATTACGAAAGACAAAACAAAACAAAACATTCGCTACGTTGTTGTTGTTGGAAGTTCTTCGATAGATGAAATACTAAAAAGTAGAAAAAAAAAGAAAGAAAGAGTTAATACGAAATAAAGTAAAAAGACATTTACTTTGATTGATCAAGATATTTCATTGAATGCCAACTAAAATCAAGAAAAAGTACTTGTTGTGAAAGTCGTTCGATACGAGACATATGTCGTTCTGAAAGAAACAAAACAAATATATTAAATCAATAGAAAAAGAAAAAGAAACTTGTACCAGTATAAGGTAATAAATTTTCAACACATTTTTGTCCATTTGGCAATTTTAAAATTTTATCTGGTGTTAAAATACTTAATAAAATTTTAATTATTATTTGAGCTTCAGTTGAATGTCTTGTATTTGTATTCCAATCAATAACATATGAAAATAATAGATCTATTATAAAATAATAATTATAAAATAATGAAAGACTAATTATACAACTGACTTAAATGATCATCAGAAAATTGTAATAAAGTATTTTTTAAATGATCTATTCCATTAATTTCATTCAGAATTTCTATGAAAACAAAAAGAATATATTTATATTGAAATCTGAAAAAAAAGTTTACCTTTGATTATTGTTAATGCTCGATAAGGTTGATTAAGATTAAGAGCTATTTTTAAAGCTTCATGATATTTTTTACTCATTAATAAATTAGACACTTCTTGTTCCCTATAAATTAAAAAAAGATCAATAATATTCACAGAATAACAGCGTTCGAAGTTGATCATAGATTCAACCGATCGTTTTGTTTTTCAAATATTTTAGCACAGTTTCAATAAATTGAATTGTAGTTTTCACCACAATGAAGTCTTATTTTCATGATTTATAAGTTATATACACTGTGTAATTACTCTGCTAGAGAAGAAATACTAAAAATTTTTTAACGAAGTTTCACTTGCTTTTCAGTCGAAACATTATCGAAAACATTTTATCGAACATCGCAACTCAATCTGTTGAAAGTGTCAGGAGATACATGAAAAATAAGGTCATCTGTTAGATCTATGATCAGTTATGAGCATCAATATTATATATAAGTATAAATTTACATAAGTAAAACTTCTTCGACGTTTTCACGTTTTGCTTGTCGATCTTCTTCTGTTGAATCCTAAAAGAAATATAATCTTAATGAGAGACAAACTTTTAACGACATGTATCTAATGTTTCATAGCTTCAAAAGAACTTTCAAACATTATTTCAAAATATAACAACATTTATGTCTATATATTAACTATTTGAACGAATGTGTTTTTTTTTCAGATTTTTTATTCGTTTCCAAGACTGCTATTCATAAGAGAATCTCGCTAAGCGATAAATTGCTTTTAAAATAAGACTTCGCTCATTGTCTAGATCCTATTTAGACTAGAAAAAACATAGGATGATTTGTGTTTTATTAAAAGGTGCAAAAATTTCATTGGAAAACGAATATGTCGTTGCCGAGATGATGAACTTTTCGAAAGCCTGACGTCTTTCGGTTCTTCAGTAAAATGTATGTTCTTTAAAGAAACTCTATTTTTTTGGCAGCAAAACACTCATTTCCGATAAAATTTTTAGTGCGTTTTAGTCAGCATTCAACCTCTCGATAAGCAAAAATCGGGTCAGAGAACAATCTTCCGATTTCGCATCCAACGTTCTAAACCGAATCAAGAACACAATAAAGCAATTCGAATTCGAAGAAAGAAACACCCATGGGCACGAATCATTTTATAGTTTTCCTACTTTCAATGCTACCTAAATAACGAGCGAAATTTTACTTTAAAAGCGATTTAGCATTTCACGAGGTTCTCTCATCAGCTTTTGAAATAGACTTTGACTTATACTCATGTTACATTCATCCAAACTACGAAACTCATTTGTTTCTTTTTGTGATGTAATCATATTCTTTAGAAACACTTACACGCCAAATGATAACAGATGAATCACTAGCACAAGTAACAAGAAGATTTTCATCTGTTGAAGCTGACATTCCCCATATTTTGCCTTCATGTGCATCGATACTTTTCACACAAGTACTTGTTTTAAGATTCCATAATTTCAAAAGGCCATCAGAACCACTAATTTAAGTAGAACATTTAAATTTAGATAATAACAAAAAGAATCTACCTGCTAATGAGTTGAGTACCCATTGATAAATAAACGATTCGAAGAACTGATGCATCATGACCTTCGATTGTCTAAAATATAAGAAAGAAAAAATTTTTTTTTGCGATATTTATTTAACATAAAATGTTACTTGTAAACAATTATAATCTTTCGTTGACCATATTTTAATTAATCCATCAGCCGAAGCTGTTGCTAATTCCTAACAATAACAAAACATGTGTATCTTGTGTTTTTTGAAGAAAAAAAGAAATAATTTACTGGATTAACAGGCGAATATTGCACACACCAAATTCCTCTTCGATGACCAGATAAAACAGCTAACAATTTTTGATTTCTTATATCCCAAATCTAAATTATTCGAATATTAAATTTTCTTATGAAAAAAAAGTGTTTTTATTTACTTTTGCTGTTTTATCTGCTGAACCAGTTGCAAATTGTTTATCATTAAATGAAACTGTTATACTATTTACTTCTTTATCATGTGTTTTTAATGTAAATAAAGATGAAAGATTTTGCGGTTCATTGATATCTAATATTAAATTTTCTAATGACCATACTTTAGCTGTTGTATCTTGACTACCCGATACAATAAAAGCATTTGAAGTTCTAAATAAAACGAAACATCGAACAATCAAATAAATTATTTTTAATTTTTGTCTACAAACTTAGCAAAAGCAATTGCTGCCACATCACCCGTATGTCCTTCAGCAATAGCAACACAAACAAATGAAGATCTATCAACATTATATGACCAAATTCTTATAATATCATCCTAAATAAATAAATAAATTTGATAAACAAAAAAAAAAAATCAAATATGAAAAAATTCAACAAACTTTTGAACATGTTGCAATTAAACTATGATCATAACTAATATCCAAACCAATAACAATATCAGTATGACCTTTAAGCATTTGACAATGCCATGTATTTAAATCAAATATTTTTACTTTTTCATCATTATTAGCAACAATTACATACAGTGGATTATTATCATTATCATTAAGAAAACGAACATCAAGAACATCACCTAATTCACCAATAAACTTTAAAAGAGCAAAAAAAATATTTCTACAACAACAAAAAAAATATTTTTCTTTTACTTGTTTTTCTAATTTTAATTTCTTAATATTAAATGCAATTATATTATGATCAATTGTATTTGTATAAAACATACGTGTTGTTTCATTAAAATAGGCATTAAGAAAAACTTGTTCATGTTCTTTATCTTTACTATATGAATTAGCAACAGTTTTTTCATGTGTTTTATCTTCTTGAATTAATAAACAACGACCCGTTGTTCCTGACCATAATTTAATTAAACCAGAATTACCAAATGTAAAAAATAATGGTTCATTTGGAGCGAATGTTTGCTTAATTTTTAATTGTTTAAGATAATCAAAAGATGGTAATGCAATGAGTGCTTCAACTGACTGCAAGAGAATTTTTTTTTATTGAATAAAATATTATGCTTTAACAAACCTCCATGACCGGAATAGTACGAATAGATGACTGAGTTTGAAGATCCCATATAATGACAACACGATCGCGACCAGAACTTAAAATTAAACAAAAAATAGCTTTTTATTATTTTCATCTAACGAACAAATCATCTGTCTGAACAGAGACGTAATACAGCACTCGTGGGAAGTACACAGTAGTTGAATCTCAGAGAAAAAGGAGCACTGCATGAACAATTGTATGAAACACGATCTAAAACGAGTATTGAAGCATACAGGTAAAAACTTGGGTCACCTTCCCTACAGACTGTATATCAAGAAAATCTCTTTATAATATGTAAACTAATTTCTTATTGCAATTCTGGAGGATTAAATAAAACGATGGCGAAGAAATATGTCCTAAAACATATAGGATAAAGCAATCTTCATGTTAATAGCAACAACAGCTACATCGTGTTTCCCATTATGATCTAACAGAGATTATGCCAACAGCTTTTCAAAAACAGAAAAATAGTGTGCGCCAGTTTTAAAAGTAGAAGAGAAACGTCATGCTCCTCACGCCCGTGGGTCTAGACCCAAAAACAGATTATAATTTGAACGCCTAATTAATGATAAACAAGGAAGGTCTTAAAAGGATCGATTATGAGATGAAATTTTCTTCAATATCTAATTATCTTAAACTAATTTATTACAACTAAACAATACAGAGATAAGATTTCGGAAAAGTCGATATGTTTATCAAGCTTCTAGTCAATCTACACTATGTATAATATTACCTGATTAAAGTATGATCATTGTGAAGAACAAATGAAGTGACAGTACTCATATGACCTTGTAAAATTGTTGGTTTAGCACCGGATACATGTAGATTATGTAAATAGATTCGTCCATCATCGGAACCACAAATAACATGAATTTTTTTACTTTCCGATATATAAAATAAAACAACTCTAAAACAAATTTTCTAATCATTATTTTATTTTCTTCGTTATATATTGAACTTACCGAATAATTGATGTTGATCCTTTTAAATTATGTGTGTAATAAAGACGTTCAACATCCCAAATTTTAACTGTAAAATCCGCTCCACCTGTAGCTAATAATGATCCATTTGAATCAAATGTCATACATATAATTGTATTTTTATGTACTGATTTCCATGTTCGAAGACATGCACCTGTTGTCCAATTAAATTGACGTAATAATTGATTACGATAAGCAATAACAATTAAATCATTGAATAATGCAAACGATACAACGTCAGATGACGTATCATCTTGACCAATTGAACGAATAATTTGCTGTGTTTGAATATCAAGTATATGAACTAATGCATTATAAGTACATAATAAATATTGACCATCATTTGATATAGCAAATTGACCACCTGTATAGAATGATGTATGTGTTGATTGTTTAATAAAATTTTCTTTTTCTTGAACCATCTGAAAAAGAAAAACAAACACCGACAAAGAAAAAGAAGAAAATTTCTTAAAGATCTAAAGGTAATTTATTTATTTGTTCAATATCAAGCGATGTTAAAAAGTCATGTTTTTGAATATCAGAAAACTGTTGTTGAATAGTTGTTGACTGTACAAGAGATTTTAATTGTTCTTCGTCTTTCTTTACAGTAGCTATTTCATTTAAAACAAGTTTTCGTTGTTGTTCAAGATGTTGTTGAAGACGAGTAAGGGTTTGAGATATATCGTTTGTAGTTCCAGTTGAATAATGATCATGAAGAAAATCGATAAAATTTGTGTTATTACTCATTATTTTAGGAGAAATTAATTAATAACAAAAAAACTTTTATCAAACGAACGAACTGAAACTATTCTGATGTTGATATTGGTCAAAATGTCGGAGGCAACCATATAATAGGTGTGTAGAGGACGCTATTAGTTTTTTACGTTTGTAGTTATTAATCAAATTTGAACTTTTTGTTACTTAATATGAGAACAAATTTTTTTCGATTGACAATAAATAAACAAACAACAAAACAGATGAAGATGATCGAAAATGTGAATTAAGTATATTTTTATATGAAGACACTGTAGATTATATCAGAATAAACAGTAACTCGATAAAATTTATTTGAAAAAAAACAGATTGACTGTTTAAATAAATCTATACTTGATAATATTTTTTATTGTCTAAAGATTAGCATTTCTACTACTAAATTATACTGAAAAATCTTCACGAAAAGTACTACATTTACTGATATTTATTTCATGATAATTATTCGATTGATTTGTAGACTCTCAATATTCGTTTGAAACAAGTAAAGAATGGGGGTTTATAAGACATCAAATCTTCCCACCGGAATTTTTGTTCTTAATCAAGTCGAATCAGATATGTAATGAAAGTATTCATTGAGCCTCGCATTTTGATACCTAATTCAACAGGTTACTACAGGTTTCAAGAGATTTTCAGTGATGCAGTGTAATGTCATATATTTAGCATAGATAAATCAGATACACATACATTTTCCAATCTTATTTATTCGATAGAACTTTTAAGAAACGCAAAAAAATTTTTTTTCCAAAGTCGAAAAATCTGGCAGCTTTATAAGTTCCTAACCGCACTATTTTCCAGGTGTAATTTAGTGTCATTTCAATCAATATTTGAAAGACTTCGATAAGAAAAGTTCAGTTTATGTTGAAATTAATATAATATTCAGGATCAGCAGAAAAAGCTGAGTTGATCTGTGTGTAATTGAAAGATTTTCGGAAATATTTTCTTTTATTCGAAAAACTAATCTGTGCGCCTCCCTTTCTCTCAGGGACTAGACGAAAAATCAACTCATTAAACAACCTACTTTTATGTTCTAGATATGTGCCGTTTTGTCATCTCGTAACTTGACACATATTTCGAGGGTTATTTATAATGACCGAATGATGTTTATGTGCCACTCACTTTTTTCTTTAGTCGCTGAGAGGGATCAGGGTGAATTTTTTGACGACAATAAATGTTTCAGAAATTGTGTAAATATCACTAAGACCAACTTAATTTTTTGTGCTAGTCCCGTATATAATAATAGTTTTAATACAAATTGAACTTTTTCTAATCGAAAATTTCTAAATAATGATTAAAAGGACGCGAAATTGCGCCTGGAATATAGTGTGGTAAGAAACTTTTTAAGCTCCACATTTTTCGATTTAGAAAAAAAAACTTCTTTTACATCTCTTGTAAAGCCCTATCGAATATGTAAGATTGGAAAATATGTTCAGTCGAATGTTGAAAACTGATATACTTCAGAAAATGTGTGCGTATTCCATGTGGCAATGCTAAATCTATAACATTACACTGTATGATGGAAAGCCTCTTAAAACCTGTAGTAACACGTTGAATTCAGTATCAAAATGTCAGCCTTAACGAGTACTTTCATCTCATTCAACCTGATTGAGAAAAAAAAGTTCGCTAGATCGATTTGAAGTCGTATGCGCTCCGACATTGTATAAATTGACACATAAGATAAAGCAATTAGAAACATGTGTATAGTGGAAAAATCAAGTGAAAAAAATTTTTGCTAGCAACTACATAAGTAATGGTGGACTCCAGATCCGAATCGTTGATAACGGTTCTAAAACCAATCATATGTTCAATGCTATGAAAACAATGCGGCAGTGTTATGCATGATATTCAAAACAGTTACATTATGACTATGTGTGGAACGTTAATGTGCAGAACCAAAATTTGAAAGATTGTCGGGATCGCGGCTACAAGAAAAAAGTTGTCTCAATCAGAACTAAAGATTATAATTATATATTATATTTCTTTGAGAACTATTTTATATAGCATAGCAATCAGAACATAATTCAAGAGAGATGATCTCACATAAAAAGTGTTAGTAGCCGATTAAGTAAATCAAAAATCGAGTATTGAAGGGTTGTTTTAGATATGATACAGAGCAATGCCGAAATATTCTTTTTTCTAGACCAAGATCAATGGAAAAGGAGCTGCCGGAACGTAACACCTTTAGTCCTGCACATCCTTAGTGTAAAGTCCCTCGAGACCAAGAAAACACTAAAAGGCGTACATTATGGTCCACTTATGTTGAATGATAGCTGTTTTGCTGAGTATAAGACACTTCTGAACAAACTAAAATAAAGATTTTTTGACCTGAAATGATACCTACAAATACACTTAATAATCACGAGGTCGTTCTAAAGTTCGAATGAAAATGAATGTGTCTCTGTAGAAATATTCGATGTCCAAAATAAAACAGCCATTTACCATAAGAGGACACGATAGTTCAGTCCATTTAGAAATTGAACATCACGAGAACGAAATGTTCGTTTTCATTGGAATTTCCAGGACTATCTAATGGCTATAAAATTTATTTATAGACATAACTGCAGATCAGTACTGTTGGTTTTAGTTTCATCAAGAATGCCTTGCTGTCTGAAAAATATTACTCTCCTCAACCAAGTCATGAGCATGTATCATTTTAGACTTTTCTTTAGTCTGATAGGGATTTATATATAGCCATAATAAAAATCGAATGACATCTGACAATGGAAATATGTTTTCTCGTAAGGAAGCATTATAAGTATACAACCACAGTCATGATCAATGTTTTTAATAGGAATCTGAAATAGAATGTACAGGTATATTCTGTTTTTCGGGACACTATGTATTCATGCACGTTATTTTTTTAAACCAAAGTGTACAAAATGTACAAGAAATATGAATCGAATAGCCAACCACAGATATTCATTTAGCTAGTGTTCCATTGGTAGCATTATAGCTAGTGTTCACTCTCTACATCACACTGTGGAATACTTTTCATCAGGATAAAAACCAGAGATCATGTTACTAGTCCAACATCAGCTGAAGGAATACCTCTATCTTCTGGTATTTCTTTTTGTCACATACTTTTAAGCCCCTCGGAAAAAATTGTATTAATGTCTAACTTTCATTTTGAATGGTAAGCAAGGCAATCTACGTAACTGATGCAAACATTGTACATAGGACATATAATGGCGTCTATATCTATTATTTCTATTGGACGTGATATGTACAGTATTCATGGCGTTCAAGAAATAGACCTTTTTCATTGTCTACCATAAAAGGATAAGGATCTTGTTAAAAAACAAAAAAGCATCGTGTAAAAAGGAAATTCAGTGTTTACAGTGTACACACTATTTTTTTCTTCAGCGTATAAAACAGTATGTAAATTCTATTTCATTAGGGTACCGTACACTTTGTTTTGCTGGATACACTCTTTCATTAAAAACACTGGTCACGATAACATTTACCATGCTTTTAATTCACAGAACGATTTGATTGTGTAGATGGCACTAGTAAAGTTTTTAATTAAAATTAATAAAGTCAGGATAATAAAGATCGAAAATCTATTTCAAAAAAAATATTTTTATTGTTATTTAATTTTTATTGTAACAACAATTCTTTTGATTGGACTACATACAAGAATGAATGATCATCATATGGACTAAATAAATGTATCAATGGAAATATTACGTAAATGTTAGTTCATAAATTATTTATTTTAACCTGATGGAATTTCTTGAATGCATTAAACTTTATGCTAATAAACCAACAAATTCTTTAGTGAATACATCAATAAATAAACCTGAAGTAATCAATTGGAGTGAACGATTACAAACTGTACGTCGTTCAGTAATAGATCAATTAAGTCGATTAAAAATTGAAGAAGCATGTCTTCGAAATTTAGTTTTAAAAAATGAACAAACTAAATGTACACATTCAACAATATCTATTTCAACAAAAAATTCCAATCAACAAGATTTCTTAACAAATAATGGAAAACGTTTTTGTACAATGCCAACGAATAATTTTGATGTTGAAGCAATTAATCAAACTGAACTTGATCTTGATTCTTAATATGTATTTTTTTAAATATGTAAACTAGATTGTTGTTTATTTTTCAGATAATCGGCCACATATGATTTGTTCATGTTATTAAAGTGGCCGTTATTTTTTATATAAATAAAATAATTTTTTTTTTAAAATAAATGGCTTCTAATACAGAACCATTATCAAATCCAACAAGATCAGGAGGAACTTCGACTCAAAATTATTATGATATACTTGGAATAACACCACAAGCAACTGATGAAGAAATAAAACGTGCTTATAGAAAAGCAGCTTTACGTTTGCGTTAGTTTGTTTTTTTTCTTTGTTTGATTCGTCTATGATTGTGATTTAAACTTTTGATATATAGATCCAGATAAAAATCCTGATCCTGAAGCAGCTACTCAATTTCAAGTAGTTGATAAAGCATATAAAGTTCTTATTGATCCAAAATTAAGATCAACTTATGACCAATTCGGAGCACGAGGTATACAAATTTTTCTTGTAAATACAATCATTGACGTAAAAAGAAAATATTATTGTTTTACCTTGATAGTTTTTCGTAAGATCTAAGGAAAAGAGTTTTACTGCAGATCTTCGACTTTAATTTAGCTTGAATTCACTGACAACTGTAACTTTTCATTTATTCAGTTAAACAATATTCTATTGTTGGCTTATTTTAAAATCATTTACAATGGAAGTCTTCCAAGAGATATTTAGTTTGTTGCTGCAAAGATCCTGATCTTTCACGATATTTTTTAAATGCATACCGGAATAGCAGAAAAACTAATTTTCAAATTTGAACTTGAAACTTTGCATAGAGACAAACAGTACTTATAATGATTTTGTTTTTGTGAAAGTTTCAAATCTTGTAGCTGTTTCTATTCTAAGATAAAACTATGGTAATAGCATGTTTTTTTTATGCCGCTCATATAAATAGACAGATTTAATGTTCTTATTCTAAAAGAGAAAAAAATTAAAAAGATCTGAAAGTTTCACAATAAAATATTCTCGTTAATACATGTCTCTTATACAAAGTTTCAAATTGGAATTCGAAAATTAATTTTTCTATTACTACGGCATTCATTTACAAAACGCCTTGGAACTTTAGTATATTTGCAATAATAAACTAAAGGCAAGAAATGTTTTTCAGATATTCATAGTTCATTTGGGCCTACATAGTTCACATAGTCTCGACCCAAAATTGATTTATCAGTTGAGAGACTTTCTTCGTGAATCCGACCAGGTTCAATTTCTTATATTTAATAAGTAGTTGAAATTATAGATTTTAAAATTTATTTGAGAGCTTAACAAACTATTTCTGTCAGATAAATAGATACTGAACAGAACCTTTTTTTGTTCATTTTTATACGTTTTCCTCAAGAACATATTTTCGACAATAGTTAATGAAAATTAACTATCGTTTTGTAAGATCATTTTAATGAGGCCAGAAAAATTGAATTAATCATTGTCTAACAAGATATTTTTGACAAATTCATTTCACAATTAGAATTTTATTGCGTGAGTGTTTCTCTTTCTTTTTTCTCGTCTTATTTTATTTATGAATGTATGACAAATATCAAACATACACTATCTGAAAGAAGAGAAAACCTCCTATTCATGAATAAAATAGATTTGCTTCGAAATGTACTTGTTGATGAGATATAGAAACCAACATTTTGCATCGTTTTTTTTGAATTTCACGAAAAGTGTAGACTTTTTAACGATACTTTTCGTCTCTGTTGCATCGTTTTGTTTATGAACTTGTTATAATAATAAGTTATATACGATTCGAAAGAACAGAAGAAGCTCTAATTTTTTGGTAAAACAAGTTTTCTTCTAGTACTTTTCTATCAAAAAGAAATAGGTATTAGCATTTTATATTATTACTTCAACATTGTATGTTAAACAACTAAATGTATTAATAAATAATAAAAATTATATATTACTTATTTTTATAGCTGCCGATGCAATGCGTCGTATGAATGATGGTAAGAATTTTAAATTTAAATTTTATTTATTAAATTATTTATTTTAGAATATTCCGAAGCATTAGCTCGAATGCCAAGATGGAAAAAAATTCTTTTTGGATTTTTATGTATTAGTACATGTTGTTGTTTCGGTGGTTGTTGTTGCTGTCTCTGCGGTTGTGGTTGTTGTTGCAATTTTTGTTGCAATCATTGTTGTGGTAAATATAAACGTGACGAAGATGTATTTTCACCATTTCAAGTAAGTTTATTTACTTTTAAAAAATTAAATAAAAAGAAATCGTTTTGTTTTAATAGGAAGATGAAGATATTCCTGGTATTCACACTCAAGCAAATAATAATGGAACATCACCAACAGTTATATTAACTAGTCCACAAGAAACAGATCCAGTACTTGGTTCAACTAGTGAACATATATCTATACCCATTGCTCCTTCATATGAATCAACATCAGTAACTAATCAATAGTGGCAATAAATATGGTATTACTCTCGCTTTTTGAAAATATATATCATTCCGATTTACTTAAATAATTACTCTCACATTTTTTTTGGCTTATTGTAAAATGGTATTACATTTTGTTTCCTTGATCGCTTTCTTTTTTCTCGTTCTATTGTCATCACTAAACTTAATTGGTTTGTTAGTTTTATTTTATATAAAAAAAATCGTGCATTATTGTTTTTTTTTTTTTTAATTTCTGGTTTTTTTTAATCGCGCTAATCATGATGATGATGGTGATGATGATGACGATCACGATGACGATAAGGATTTCGTGAACTAGGTCTTTCAACCGGTTGTTCCACGTCAACTAATGTTGGACAGGCAAACCAACCTGTTTGCATCGGTTCATTTAATGTTTGCATTGAATTTAATCGTTCACTCCAAACATAGACACGTCCAATATTTGTAAAAAAATGATGTAAATTTCCATAACTAAATGCGCTTTTAACTGTACCAGTGAAACGTGGAAATTCCTCACTTAAACTTCGTTCATTAGATTGTTGATAACTATTATCTAATTCAAATAAACGTATTGTTTTTGATGTAATTAAATGAATTGCACCATGATAATAAATAGCACCAACAATAGAGTTTTGTAAATTTCTTGGAAGAGTTTGTTGCTTTTGAAATCTGATACGATTTTCATAATCAATATCATAACGATAAACGTATTGATCAGCAAAAAATACTATTTCATTTTTTCGACTATCATATACACCTGCTTTTAGTTTACTTGGTAAATTTGGATAAATATTTTCGAGTATTGGTCGATTTTCCCATGTATGTTCATCAGGTAAATAACGCCAAAGTATACCGGCATTGAATGTATGAAATGTGCCATCAGGATGACTGAAAGCAGCATCAAAAAAGAGACGACAACGAGTATGTGTTTTTCCAGGAGCCATTGTAACAGGACTTTTCGTAGTAATAGGACCTTTTCTCGTTGATGTTGTTGTTGATCTTGTACTTTGTGTTGTTGATCTTGTACCTGCTGTTACATATGTTTGTTTTTTACCATATAGAGATTGAATTGCATCACGATCAGGTCGTGGAAGAATGTTTGATTTTGGCATTGATTGATAAGACGGATACATAATGGATTGCTCATTGTATACATGATCTAAGCCAAGTGCATGACCAATTTCATGAACGGCAACCAAATATAAATTTATATGTTCATTATTGAAACTATAAGAATAGAAATGAATTATATTTCGTTTATCAGAACATAGGATAACTAAAATAATAGCTAGTACTCATATAAGGTTTCGTACTGTGAACCGTAATTGACCAGGAATCCTCTCCAAGTGTCAAATTGCTTTACAAACGAGACGATGTTTATTTGATGAGTACTAGTGAATAATAGAATAGCCTAGAATTGTTTGATTTCCTAGGTCTTCGTTCGTGAGGTATCAACGGTTTATTGGATTTTTCAACACGAAGTTGTGTTTCTCCGTAGATCATCTGAAATATCACTTTCAAGTTCAAATTTTGCATGAGCAAAATTCTTAATGAGATTAGTTGATTATTTAAGTTTTAAATATTCTATTTTTTTTTTCTTTCTGAGGGTGTAAATGTTTGAATAGAATGTGTTTTTACACATGAGAGAGTCTCGAATATTCAATATCTCAGGATTGAAGATACTACTAGAAAAACTATAACTTGCTCAATGAACTAATCTCATTGAGAAATTTGTTCATGTAAAGTTTGAAGTCGAAAGTCAAGTTTTCACGTGACCTAATGTTACCGCAGCTTTTTTGTTGAAAAATTCAGTAAAATTTCGATATCTCAAGAACAAGAATTCAAGAAACCGAATCATTCTACACTTCGCTATTAGTCACTAGTGCTCGTCAAATAAATATCGTCTCGGTGAAAAAGTAATTTGGCATCTGGAGATTTTTGCTTGTAAGAAAAATGAAAAACTTTTATCCTACTCGGCACATATCTAACTCATAGTATTTTTCAATAATATAATGAAGAAATCAATATAATATTACTAGATAATAGATAATGCATCTCAAGACTATCTCATCACAGATCAAGTTTCAACATACAGAAAATACCTCGCGAAAAATGAAATCCTTCTAACCTTTCCGTCCATGGTTCATCTTTATCAAAATGTATTCGACCATCTTCGGGAAAAAATGCATGTGCCAATGTTCCACCAGCTCCATCGAATGGATACCGATCTGTATGTTGTTCACGTTGAAAATCGATAACAAAGTCTGCTTTACATGTTGAACAAGCAGGTTCAATATTTAATGGAACATGGTCAACCCAAGCTTGAAATGCTTCACGTATTATATTTGTTGTTTGTGTTTTACTTAATTGTGTTGGATAACCATCTATTGAATATGTTAATGATGAACGTGACCATTTATTTAATCCTAATGGAGATGCAGCATTCATTTCAGCTACTGATTTATCTATATTTCCACAACGTGGTCGATTCATATGTTCTTTAGTTGCGTCGTCTAATTTTCCAGTTCTTTTTAAACCAAAACGTTTTTGATACTCTTGTAATAAAGTTGTAATACTTAAACTACATTGAACATTTGAATTTAAACAAGGATTGTAACCATATTTATTAAGCCAAGATACTGCATCTTGTTGAGATACAACTGGTTTAGAAGGCTTTTTTGAACATAATGATATATCAATAACGATAATGAAAAGTAAAAGAGTAATGGTCACAATGTGCTTCATTGTATCGATGGTAGATGTTTTGCATGTAAACACTATTTTTTTTGTTGTTTTATTTATACCAATTTAATATTCTTATCTCGAATAGTTAATTGAAAAAAAAAACAAAAGTCCTATCAAATTTCATGTTGATTCATCATAGATAATAGATTATTCACGTATTGTTGTTGTTGTAGATGTTTGGAACTACACCAAATGGATCATCGATTCAAAGTAGATGAAAAAAATTTTATTGAAATTAATATTTTTTTTTTTGAATTTTTTGAATTAGTCGATTGTAAAAAAAGATTATTTGATGAAGATGATTTAATCGAACAAGATAAAGAAATTATTGAAATTAAACAAAGGAATTCCGTTAAGAAACAAAAAATAATATGTATGTACACTCTTAAAAAGAAAGGTTTTCTCCAAAACCAATTTCGGTCGGTTTCGAAGAAAAAGCTTTTTTTCTTAGAGTATAAACGATTTTCATAAGAGCATGTCTCAAAATGAGTTTTTGTTTTTCTTATTTCTTAGCAACACGTTATCATTCTCAAATACCAAATCAACCATTTGTAGTATTAACAAGTCATCATAATGAACGATATTATTTATTAGTACGTGATGATGATGATGATTGTTTCAAAGTAATAATAAAAGGACTGTGTTTGTTTTTTTTACAATTTTGTTTTTGAATAATAATTTAAATTAGTTTTCATCAAATAATGGTAATAAAACAAGTCTACTTAAAGTATCAGTTGATGAAATGATTGAAAAAAGTGTTCGTCAAGTAAGATTAAAAAAAAATAGTTTTCGCTAAATAAATGAAAAATTTAATTTTCAATTAGGAATTAGACGAACTTACAAAATCAATAAATAATCCATCAACAACTATCATAGAAAATGAGTAATATAAAATTTTGTTTTGTTTTTAAATAAAAATTCAATTTCTATTTTAATTTTAAGAGATGAATCAACTTTGTCAATTGTTGATGAATATACAGATGAATTATGGGTTGAGAAATTTGCACCACGTGCTTTTTGTGATTTACTTAGTGATATAGTTGGTTAAAATAACTTTGGTATTAATTGAATGTTTAATTTTTATTTCATTCATATAGGGTATTAATCGAACATTATTAGAATGGCTGAATCTTTGGCAATATTGCACGTCATCAACAAATAACATCAAATGAATCGAATAAAGATAAACATAATTTTACGGGAGCGATGAATAAAAAAACTTATCCATCAGATATTCAATTTGAATTAGATCCTTATAAACGACCACAACAGAAAATTGCTTTACTTTGTGGTTCACCAGGAGCTGGAGTTTGTCATTTATTTTATTCTAAAAAAAGAACATATATATATATATATATATTTGTCTATTAGAAAACAACTCTTGCACATGTTGTGGCTCGACATGCAGGATATAATGTTATTGAAATGAATGCAAGGTGAACAACTATAGTTTTTCTTTTATTTAAGGTTTTATCGTTGATATTTTTTTTTTCTTTTTTTTTATAAAGTGATGATCGAAGTGTAGAATTATTTCGTACAAGACTTGAAACAGCAACACAAATGCGAGAACTATTAAGTAAAGATTATAGACCAAATTGTCTTCTAATTGATGAAATTGATGGAGCACCAGCGGTAATTTTATATATTTGTATGCAATGTGCGAGATCACTTTAACGGAGAAAATAAATTGGATGAAAAGTTCAGCAAAGTTATAATTATGACGAATTATAAAATCAATACAACATCTCAAGAAATGATTAGCTATTCTTATTTTCACGAATTTTTCCTTATTTTGTTCTTTTGCTTCTAACTATGTCTATTATAAAACACTGAGATGCAAACCAAAATTTTTTGTCTTATATTTCCTAGTTAGTGCTACGCTCCAAGTAATCTTAGAAGTAAAAAAGCTAATTTTTGTAACGAATGTGAACTTGAACCATTTGGGAACATTTCCCAAACTCTAAAAACTGAATGTTCACTGTTGGAGTTCGATACATGCCTGTTCTCAAGTGAGAATTTCCCTGCAATCTGTTGGAATGAAGAGTTCTTACTATCGTTATCAACTCATGGAGCTTTGCACATTGAAAACTAATAAAACTATAGTTATTTATTGAATATCTCGTAGCCTTCAGTACAATTACTTGTTGACTTAATTACTCGCACACCAGTTGATCAACAACAAGCAAGTAATAAAACAAAGAAAAATAATTCATTTGTCCTTCTTCGACCAGTTATCTGTATTTGTAATGATTTGTATGTTATTCAATAATTATTTTTCTAATCTTAATTAAGTTTTAATAATATAAATAGATATGTACCAGCTTTAAGACCTCTTCGTCAAATAGCTCTTATATTGAATTTTCCACGTATTGAACAAACTGTACTTGCTAAACGTTTATTAACAGTAAGTTGTTTTCGTTTTATTAAGAACAAAAAAAAAAACAAAAATTTTTTGATTTTAATTGATATAGATTTCCGAACAATTGAATATTCAAAGTGATTTAATTACATTGAATAGTCTATGTGCAAAAGCAGCATGTGATATTCGATCATGTCTTCATTTTATGCAAGTATGTTTAAATGAATTGAATTGAATTGAATTTGATATAATTTATATAAACTATTTAGTTTGTTGTTACTCAACAAAATCGAATAATAACAAAAAAAATGGTTGAAACTACAACCGTACTTGGAGTTAAAGATGCTCAAAAAAGTTTATTTGAAATATGGACTGAAATCTTACAAGTACCACCATCAAAGAAGTTTGTTTAATTCTTTAAAAAAAAGCAATATTATATTATAAATATATTTTTTTTTACTGAAATAGAACACAATTAACACTTCAATTGGATGATCCACTCAAACGTTCAGGCAAAGTACCATTAACAAGGTATATAAAAAAAAAGAACTTGTCACTAAACTTTCCTATTCTAAATCAGTAGTAACCTGTTCCACAACGAGTTATATAAAATTTTCAGTAATAAAAAACACACTAAATGGTTGAATTGTAGAAAAAAAAAACATTTGCTTAAGCCAGCTTCAAAAATTATCATGAACAATTCAAATGATATCAACATAGTTCTCATATTTAATGTTCATTAACAGTCGAGTCAATTAGTTTAACATGCAATCAAAATGTCACTTTTCTATACGCTAAATGAAACAATATAAAAATTGATCTACTTCTAGTTGTTTGATCAAAAAGATATAACATACGATGTGAAAGTGTTAGCACAAAATATTCACTCATTTTTGAAACCACTTAAAGACAGCTGGTTCGAGCCAGAAACAATCAGACTTTGTGTTTCCAAATGAAAAGCTCACGATTCCGACTTCTACTGTGCCCAAATAATTCCATTTTTTCGAGCACAGCTTTGCAGATGCTATTAAATTTGTCTTGATCAAGTAGTACCTATGTATAAAAAATGTTTCTCCAGATTTCAATTACTCATGATTGAGAATAATCTCTAGAGATCATTTTCATTTTTCGTCGACGTCTTAGATCATTGTTATTATATACTCTGCAACTGCCATTTTCCCTGGGAACAGGTATTTGAATATCATGAGAGCTTAACTCTAGTCGTATTAGTAGTTCTCACCATAATAGAAGTCTCCTAAAATTTTTGAATATTTGGGCATTTTAGAAGCCCCGAAGGCTTCTATTATGACAAGAGTTTTATCATCAGATTGTTTTAAACGATTCAAAATAGTAGTTGTACAGTCTACACTTTTAGTTTATTTTGTATGACCATTCAAACTTATCAAAGATTCTTCCTCTTTTTTTAAATTCTATTGAGAAATCTTTTTTGTTTTTTCCTTTAGACGTTTACAATTACTCGATTTAGTCTCAAGTATAGGTAATTATGATCGGATCTACGATGGTCTATTCGAACATTATCTAACACTTCATTTTCATGATCCTAAATTAACTTCTGTAACTAAAACAAAATACACCTTAAATATCATATTTTTTATCATCGATTTCCTTCTTCTTTTCCTTAGATCGATTATGCTAATAGTTGGTTATTATTCTATGATATAATTAATAAAGAAATGTATACTCAACAAAATTATTCATTTTGGAAATATGCACCTTATGTTGCTCTGGTATTTCATCTTTTATTTATAACACATCGACCTATTCAAATGAAATATCCTCAAAAACAATTTGAAGTAAAAACAAAAAAGAAGTTGTTTCAATTTTGAATTCATTAAATTGTAAAATTTTAGATGCAAAATAAACTACGTACAAATATAACAACGATTGAAACAATGCTAAATGATATACTACCTAATCTTCGTCAATATCTTGATAAAGATATTCTTATTCTCGATATTCTTCCATATATGCTTGAAATTCTTCAACCACGTCTTCGACAAGTGAAATATATTGATTTTTCTTTTTTTGTATTTTATCCTATATTTTAAAACCTTTAGACAAATATTGCATTATTTACTAATAAAGAAATGCGAGATATAAAAACATTAATCGATGTTATGATTACATTTAATTTATCTTACATTCAACAACGAACTGCAAATGGTGAAAATGTTCTTGTATTTGAACCGTATGTTTAATTTAAACAAATTTTCTTATAAATCTATTATTTTTTTTTTTGTGAAACACGATCTGTAATGAGCGTTGAAATAGTTAGGGTAGAAGTTTGGATCCGTCACTGACCATGATAGATCAGATGCTGAATCGAACCAAGTTTGACTGGTTTAAGTTTGATTTCTGTGACAGACACCCTGATAATCGATCAAAGGTTGTGCATGACGTTATTCGTATTCGATCAAAGACTGTATATCAATAACTTCTCGTTCTAATAAATGAACTATTTCGTTTTTGGATTTCTGCAAGATTAAGTAAAAAGATGATGAAGAATTATGTTCTAAAATAGATAAAATAAAGCGATCTCCCTGAGAGGTAGCAACAGCAGCTACATCGTGTTTCACATTTTAATTCCATATGGATTGCACTAACAGTTTTTTTTTTAAATCTTATTTAAGACCTGTTGATACAGTTGCTTATTTTTCTGGTACACATGAAAAACGTGGTTTATCATTTGGTACACGTCAAATGATATTTAAGGAATTACTTAAAGAACGTGTTAAACGAAATATTCGTCTTAAATCTGATAAACAAGAAATGTTGGTTTCAGTTAAACGTCCAGTTGATTCAACGCCTAAACCGTTTGTTTCTTTTTTATTTTTTATTTATTGAAAAATAAAATTTTTATTGTACTAATAGAAAACCATCTCAAATTGATATGATTAAATTACAACCAAAGGTTATCACTCCAAATGAAACTAATGTAAATATTTATTTATAAATGTGAATTATGATAATAGATCTTTTTTTTTTTCTTGTTTTTGATTATCTAAGGTTACAAGAGATTTTTTTGCTAAATTTAAACTTGGTTCAAAAAATCAACAAATAACATCAAAATCATTCGATCAAGCTGATTCAACTAATAAACCAATTGAACGGAAAGCATTAATTTCATTTGCATACAATGAAGGTTTTTCGGATGCTATACGATGTAAAATTAAAATTCAAGATCTTCTCTAATTCTTTTCTTTTTTGTTGTCTGTGTTTGTTCTTATATGTAATGAATATTTTTGTGTTCTATTAACATTGGTAGTTAGATATGAGATTTTTTTTTTCTCTGTTTTCTTTTTTATTTCTCGAATAAGAAAGAAACAGAATAGAGAAAGAAAGAAATAAAGAGAAAAAAAAAACGAATAGCACACGATATAATCACCGCTGTATTTTGCCTGGATGGAGAATATAAATGAAACGGTATATGCATGAGTTTATTTATACGCTATAGAAAGGCAATGACGAGAAATCTTCTTTCCCCGACTGATCATTTTGTGATGTCGCAAAGAATATGTATCACATCTGAGCCGATAAAAAAAAATGCCTTGAAGATTTTTTTTTTATCGAAGGTTTTAGTATGAAGAATAATTTAATGTTGGTTAAACTATTTATTTGTGACAAACATGAATTGAAAAGTCTATGTTTTCATCAGTGATAAAAAAAATTACAACATTAAATAAAAAGTAATTTTAGCATTATTATAATTCGAACAATGTATTTAATTTTGCCATTGATTTTTTTTAACTGTTACTCTATGTAATTGAATAAAATATGTGATAAGAATTTATTCAATAGAAAAAAAATAAAAAAAAAAACTTAAAGATAATTTCCAAAAAGTAAATAAAATTCATCAAAGCATATACGATTAGAAAAAAATATTTATAGTCCTTATTTTAAATAAATCGTCATTATACAAACAAATTAAAAAAATATATACTCTTGAATTAATTGAAGTTTTCTATTAACCTGTAACGAACATTAGTTTGTCACTAATATCAAAATCAATTTTTAAAACTTTTCGCCACTTTAAAATTACCTTCTTTTTTTTATATCAAAGTAAGTATAGAGCTTGAAATTCTTTATCATCCTATATATTTATCCATTGTTTTCATGGATTAGATGCATCAAATAAATAAATGCAATATAACTGAAATCTTTACGAAATGATAGGGAATATTATGCTCTATTGGAATATAAAATTATTCAATTCTTTTTCGAAGAAATGACAGAAGCCCCCAAGTACTTTCACAATATATAATTACTTATTTATAATTACGATATATTTAGTATACGGACTAAAATTTTTTTTTTCGGGCGTATCATAAATGATTCCTTGATTTTATAACCTAGATAATAAAACCGTTAGAAATTTAAATAATAGACTATACAACTATTGTTTTCTCTCTATTCAACGGTCCAACGATATTGTTGTTTGTTCATTTCCATCTTTGTAATAGAAACGATTAATCCTATTTTAATTGCATCGAAATCATGTCTCAATCATCGATTTATAAACGACGTAATACTAAATGGCAAAAAAAATCATTAATTACATACGATTGTCCTATTTGTGTAACAACAAATACACGTCAACTTCTTGAATTACCATGTGGTCATAATGTAAAAAACAAAAAGAATAATTTAAAGAAAAAAAAACTTGGTTTTTTTTTTAAATAGTTATGTTTGTCATGTCTTCACATGATATGTGCTCATTCAACATTGGCCTGTCCATTTTGTCGTTGTCGTCTTTCAACATGGCTTCGTCGTAATCCTGATTATTCGAAATTAATTATTAAACGACAACCAACAACAAAAGCTGAAAAGAAATATATTGTTAAACAACAAAAACAACAACAACAACAAAAACAAAAACAACAACAAGAACAACAACACCAACAAGAACAACAACGCCAACAAGAACAGCAACACCAGCAAGAACAGCAACACCAACAAGAACAACAACACCAACAAGAACAACAACACCAACAAGAACAACAACACCAACAAGAACAACAAGAACAACGACAACAACAATCAAAACGTCCTTATCAATCATCAAAAATAAAACCAACATGTAAATAATAAATTTCTATCTTTTGAAATAAATAATTTTCGTTTTAATTATTTCTATAGTTGATGAACAAGGTAATATATCTGATGATTGGTTATTAGCTCATAAAATTCATCATGAACAACTTGAAGAAGTAAAAAAAAAGAAACTTTCTTTTGTTTATAATAAAGCAACAAAAAATTATTATCTTTTTTTTTTTTATATTCTAGTTTCGATATACTTATGGTCGAATAACTCGATCAATGGCAAAAAAAATGAAAACATAATCATAGACGTTTTTTATGTTTATATATTCTTATAGAATAGATTTTATCCATGTATACTTTTTTTTTGTTTCATTTATTGTGAATTGTATATTTTGCTAATTTATTTCTAACCATCATGATTTTGTTATTAAATAAAACATAGTGATAATGAATCTTTTATATTTTATGCTAACAAAGTAACTGTCAGAACTGTAATTTGTTTGTCGAACTCATATTGGATCTACACGGAAATCTCAGTAGACCTAGAAAAACCTTGACTGTTTTACTAAATTTTCAAGCAATTTTTATATATTTGCTAGAAAATTAAATAATGGAATTTCGTTCTGAAATTTAGCCTATAGATAAGTCTAATGAATCTTAGAATATCCCAAAAGTTTCAGCCGAAAAAAAATGTTCTTCTGCCGGAATATTGAATTTCTAAATAAACTCAATGTTTGTGGCAAGTAACCTCCATATCTTGACAAAGGAACATTCTTTTCGACCGATATTTTTAGAATATTTCAAGAATTATTAGATCTATCTATGGAAAAAATTTCGTTATTTGATTCTTCAGTTAATAACGAAAAATGGATTAAAAATTCAGCAAAATGATCATAACTCGACTTCACAGACCAATGGGCACAAATCCTTTTTATTTCTTTCTAGTCTTATCAACACTTCTCTATGGGCTCAAACTACAAATGACAAATCAAATAGTTCTTTCGAAAATAAAATATTGATTATTAAAAACTAAAATTGGCGCATATAAGTTTTTTTTAAAATCTTTATTAATATTACAACTTTGAGTTTTGTTCAATTTATATATGTAAAACATGATGAATTGTAACAATTGGGGTAAGTAGAATATAAATAATTTTTTACGATAAAATTTTATATTAGACAAATGTACTGGTGTTCGATATCGACTAAGTTCAAGAATAAATAATGAATATAATCAATCAGCTATAATAGATAACTGCGGTACAAGGATTCCATTATGTATTGAAAAATCGTAAGTTTATTCAAATTCTTCTATAGATTCTAGTTGTTATTCTTGAAATTCTACAGTTTTTATCAATGTAAAAATGATGTTGGTCCAGATTATTCTATAGAAGTATGTGGTAATGGTTCAGTTCCAATAAAATTCTCAAGTTGTTTTGTAACAAATATGAATATAAATAATTCTATAAAATCAACATGTGATACTAAAATCAATTTGCCATGTTCGAAATCTATGGGTCCATATCGAAATCAGTTTGTAGGTAAATTTCTTAGAGTTTGTAAAAACAAAAAATTGTGTTGATCATAATCAAAAACTAAAGAATAATATTTAGGGATTATCAAAAATCTTTGACAATAAACGTAAATATATTGATTATATTGTTACAAATGTTCTTCGACAAGTTGTTAATCATATATCACTTGATTCTGTAATAATATTTTTATTTATATATACAATTATTTTATTATTATTTTTAATAGTTAAATCAACTATCTTGCTCTTTACCACAAAATATTGAACGAATTCTTTGTCATGTAGTATATTTTATTTTGTTTTATATATTTCTATACATAACTTCAGACTGATATTGATTCGGATCGTTTAATACGAATTCTTGTTACTGAAGTTCTTAAATGTTATTGTACGAATGTTGGACATCTTACCGATTGGTACGCATTTGCTAATTCAATTAAGGTTTATTAAATGAATTTCTACATAAAGACAAACAAGATTATTCTTATTTTACTATAGCCCTTTCTTTCATCAACAAATGTACTACAACATGATGATGATGATGATAATCAAAAAACCAATAACAATAAAAACCAAACATCATTAAAATTAACATCACCAATTGTTAAAAAAGAAAAACTGGCGGAAAATAGTGTCTTTAGAGAAATAGTAACACCAGCAAAAGATGATAAAATTCCATTTATTAATCGAATATCTTCAACTGAAACAATATCTCATACGAATAGTATGACTCCCATGAGTATACAATCAAAAGAAACATTTATATCGCTTGGTGCTAAATATCAACAATCAAAAACAAAGCAAATACATCAAATAGTGTCTTTCATGTCAACCTAATATTTGTCACTATTTTTTTTTTATAGATCAAAACAAACCATGATGGTTGATAAAATTAAAAAGATTGACCATCATGAATCTCTTCCATTTCATAAAAAATCAACAAATCAATCTCAAATACAACATCAATTATCTTCAAATTCTTATCATTATGATGACAAATCTGTATATCAATATTTTTCTTATAATTTTGATTGAATATTATTTATTACAGGACAATAGTAGTAATCGATCATCATCTAGAGATTCGATGCGGCTAGCAATCCATCATAAACATAAACATAACAGTTTTTATAATCATCATACAACAACAAGCTTTAACACACCATCATCAACTTCATTATCATCTCACACGTTTGTTCCTAGCAGAAGACTCATTCAGAAATATAAACGAACATCGATTAAAAATAATAGCTTAAATTCAACTGATACAAAACAAATAGAATCGTTTGATAAAGCTGCTAAACATTATCATCAAACTAAGACTGATTCAGTTGAATTATCTCTGCATGATGCAGAAATATCATCTACAAATAATCAACATCAAATATCTTGTTTACAAAATGAAATGGAACCGAATAAACATTTGACTATAGATAATCACCAAGTATCATCATCGAAAGATTTTAACAAATCCAATATGTCATCGAGTAATGATCAAATTCGACTGAATACAAGTTCGATATCGAAAAACATCAGAATCAATCATTATCCAAATATGTTGGCAGATTTTGACTAAATAAAATAAACACTCAAATCTGTTTTGCAAGTTATTTGAGAAATATTTCTATCGAGTTATTAATATTGTACGTGCTTTTCTCGCACAAATAGATATTATTATTTTACTTATAGCATGTGTCTACAAGATGACAATGAAAGAAAATGAATGCTAATATTATATTGAAATAAAACTACCGTCCAGCATGACTATCATTACTAGGCATAAGCTTCGGTGAATGTTAAACCTTGTGCAGCGTGAAATAACATTTTAGTAAAATAAATAGATTATTATTTATACGTATAAATTTATCAACATTAAGGTAAGAGAATGATTTCCTTCATTAATTGAACAATTAGAGAGAAAAGAAAACAAAATACGAACATATCAATAACACCGATAGAAAAATGAAAACATTCAAGTAAAGTTAATAATAATGCTATCTGGTCAAATATTTCGAATAATAATAATAGTGGCATATAAAACTTATTATTTTTAACAGCAGCGAAAATTTTTTTGTAATT